GAGTAAAGAAGACGATTTTTAAAAAATTGCATTAATGTTAGTGGTTTTGGCCCCACCCCTCAGGTCCCAGCGAGGGCAGGGACTAGCCTATGACATTCAGAATTTTTGTTTCCCTTCACCCATAGATGTTTTATAGTGAATTTGGTTGAAGTTGGTTGGTTGGTTGCAGAGAAGAAGCTGAAAATGTAATAATAATAAGGCTCGACGCACAACGCACGATGACAGACAAAAACGGATAGCAATAGGTAACCTGAGTTTACGCAGGTGACCTGAAAACGTTGATTTTTCCCTCTGCGGGCCCACCTACCACTGCGTCTTTATACGTTGTTGTAAAGCTTGAAAAAAGATAGCAGGTTTCCTCAAACTTGATCCATCCTTTTTCACATTCTGTTGCACAAAATTAAAAGTTCAAAAAATAAAATCAACAGCATTCGGTATAATCTTATTAATCGGAATGCTAGCTTCAATGCCTATCTTATGCTGCCGAACTTTTTTGTGCTATTTAACCACAACGCTACATGTACCTGCTTTTTAGATAATGATGACACCAAGTAGACTTCTACAGATATTTGGAACATGTATTGAGTACCAATGATTAAAATGAAACAAGATGGTGCTTTAAGGATGAATGCAGATAGTTTCCACCATCGTATAAATCTTCTACGGTAAACCAACTATTATTCGTTTGCCTAAAACTTTCGCGAGGTTCGCGTCATCGCAAGTATTTCTCACTGCGAACCGGTCCTTAAAGTCTCTCTTTTAACAACAGATCGAGAAAAGGCTTGATAGCGAAAATTAATTGTTGTGAATTAGTTTGCCACCAGTAATCCGCGAAATAGATTTGTCGCGAATAAAAGTATGTTTGCAGTACTGTTCATATTATATTAAATGAAATACCGTATAGCGGGTTTTCTTGGCGGGTGTAAAATTTGGCGTTTTGCCTGCTCAAAAGTATGCCATTTATTTTAGCGGGTACATGGATTCAGCTCTTTGCAGATGGATACTAAGAAGAGTACGGACTATTTTAGCGATTAAAATTTTAGCGGAGTATCATCAAAACGCCAAAATAAGCCAAAATTAGCATCCCGCTAAAATAACCCGCTATACAGTATTTGGGGATAACGAACAGTATTTAAGATCAAGATACATAAAACAGTACAAAACAGGAGCAGAGCAAACGCCGACTTCTAAAACATGGAGATGGTATCAGGTGCCATGGAGGAGTGAGCATCTCCTGCCGAACGGTCACATCCGCCGACTGGTCCTTGTCATGATACGGAAAAAACAGAAAAATCCATCGTCAATTTAGTGTATAAATATTTAGTATTAGTATGAAAAACGTCAGTCAGCATTTGACTAAATGACAAATTTTATATAGTAACAAGGTAATTGAACGTACAAAATGATAACTTCAAACGAGACTGCTGAAATTCTTGTTCCATCAGCTTGTTTGTCAATAATTTACCACGTTTTAGAAATTGTTCATACGTAGTACATGTATAAGTACATTGTAAGGGAAGTTGACCATTAAAAAGTTAAACTCATCTCGTTTTTCATAGATCTTGGTTGTTATATTATAATTAACGTCTTTTTGAAGTTAAATATCCGTAAATGAACGAGATGTGTCTGACTCTGTAGTTGATAATTCAAATAAAATGTCCTTGCAGATGTAAATTATACATTTTTACTACGTTCCTATATTTCAATTTAAACAGTAAATACGTATACGTATTTCTGTAATTTACAACTTTAAATATTCATATTCAATTTTCACCGTTTATTGTCTAGAAGCCTGGTCTAGTGGTTCAGGTGTCTATTTTATTTGTTTTATCTTTCCATATTCCATGATTTCATCAATTAATACTAATGATTAATTCGTCTCACCTATCGAAGAACTTTGATGTCGTTTTAAATGACAGTTCTGTGTTCTTACCACATTAAATTATAAATCTGCTACAATTTTTTTTGTTCTTTTGTTAATCATATACGTAAATATAATTAATGGAAAGATATTAAATGGAATACACAATTTTTTCTGTAATGTAGTACATAAAACTAACCCATTGTAAATTAATGAATCTGGATCCTTTTTTTTTTTTTTTTGGTATCTTAGTGTTTGCTATATACTTTTTCGATAAAAATTAGTTCTCAATGCTGAGAAAGTGTTATACGTGCAGTAAAAGTGTATGGTTAATGAACTCCATCATTTGCTAAACTTTTCAACAAGCTTTCAATTTATATCCTACATGTATCTGCTAATGGAGGTAAGATACGTATTCAATGGAAGAATATTTTTATTTTAATAAATACAGAATTTTTTTTGCATTTCGGACACTGCTTGGGACAAATGGTCTTACAATTCAGTAACAACAATTTTTCCATACATAAAGGACATTCATACTGCGCAACTTGTAGGCTTTGCAATGTGTCCATAAGTTGTTTTACCACAGTTGTACCCAGTTGCCTTTAATAATCAATTTACGTGATTTTTATAGAACAAAAAAGGAGAAATGGTTAAATTGACCTCTTGCATTTTATTGATATTTATTCAAAAATTTTGAAAGATAGATAAATATGTGCATCTCGATTCGATTTATTTTCTTCTGATCATCATTTCTGATTTGTACAGGTCACTTGCTTTTTTGATTGTTGGATACCAGACAAAATCTATATGACTCGCGAAAAAAGGAGCATTTAGATTTGTCCATGTACAGAAATCATACCACCAGCCAGATCCACATCTGGCTCCGCATCTGTGTTCTTTGTCGTGGTCATATGTGGAAAAAGGGTGATGAATTTTATTAGTAAAATGTCTGAAAGCATCATCTAAAGTGAAAAGATAAGACTCATTAAAAGAATATACTGTTTTTTTTTCTAATAAAGCAGAACTAAAACTGTAGACGTATTTTTAATTTTCTACTTGGGGTTTCCGATATACAATGTAACTAGCATACAAAACTTCTGTAATTTTTACATGTACCGATCAAATCGAAATTGTGATTCTGGGCAAAAACATCTGATTCAATGACTCAGTGAACATATAGTCTTATTAAGTAATGTAACTTATGTAATCGTTTCAAATATCAGCTGCGTGTTTATAATTATCATTATGATCCTATGTTTTGAAAATGAGCACATAAATAATTTTACTAGCAGATAACATCTCACATCCATCTGTTGTTCCTAAAGACAGCATGTAACCTGAAGCCTCAGAAGACATAGAAAATAGGTTGTACTTTACATCAAGTGACTGGTTATTTGTACTTTTTATTCTTATGTATAAGTCGTTTTGGAAGGCAGTGGTGACTTTATTAATGACATCATTTCCTGGAGAGAGAAAAAAAACACAATACATGCATATTCAATTAAGGTATGTTACTCGTCGGCTTTTAAGAAAAGTTTATTCAAATTCTTTACTTTCAAAAATATTTGCAATTTATTTTTCAATAATATATCTTAGAGCATGACTTATTGTATATGAAAAATCCATGCAAATATAGAAATAAGTTGTGGTAAGCAGTCTCAAGAACAGACAGAATTCTATTATTAACTTAAAGAACACCCACTGAGAGTCAAAAATATGTTAATCATCTTGGTATCTGTTGTATTTATGTTAAGTAATAGCCAATTATTCATTCTGGTTAATATACCATAGAAAACAATTAAAATATTTTTAAAAAAAACAATATATTAAAAAGGGTTAAGTTTTCTCACAGAATTAAGTCGATAAATTAATAAGTTGGATTTGAAATATTTTGTAATACCCCTATGTACATGTACAGTGTGTTTCATAAAATATGTTACATTTGAATATACAATTTGACAAACACAACGCGGCTAGGATAATGTCTGTGAAATATCAAACTATTCAAACTGAGGTTACTCCTAGATATGACGTCAAGTCACTTCATACTTGAGCATACATGATGGGAAAAGATTCAAAATTTTTCCACATGGCATGCAATTTTTTTTTTTTTTTTTTTTTTAGAGTTTTTGTTTTTTAATTCAAGTGCTGGGATTGTTTATAAGCTCCACGTCCTGTTATGATGTTATGCATTTGAAATATAGATATACCTTTTCCTTTCGCTTGTCCAATATGTATATATTTAAACAGTAGCGAAAATTTGGTGTGAAACGCTCCCCGTACACGTCCGACGACATAACTAGAATTCATGAATCTAGTATATATTTGACTGGCACAAGTGAAAGACAAGGATAAATTGAAGATATTCTGCCTGAATCTAAAAGAGAAGTATGTCCTCTAACTGAATCTTCATGGGGGATTGTATGTAATTTATCCATTTTTTGTATAAATCGCGATAAAGGGTGGAAAATACTCCTTCATATGTTGGTAAGGCCAATTTCTCGTTAAATATTTTCTTAAGAATTAAAAATTATACCTGCCCACAGCACGTTTTATGTACTAGAAATCACGGTGAATTGATCAATGTAACACACTTTGCACAATAACTTTGTTATGCACTTGTGCCAAAGCGATTTTTGTGCAAGATTTAAGAATAACATAAATGTCCTTCACATGATCAACACAGTCATGTGACATCACAGAACTGCTTTATCATAATACCTGATTAAACTATTATCTCAAGTTGACTGCAATTTCAAACAAGGATCACACATTGAAATTAAAATCTAGCTCAAATTAAATGTATATTTTTAAGACATTTTAAGCCTTCGGACAGCCTTATCAAAACTGCGAAGAAAAAGATAAAGATAAGTCTTTTTATCAAATTGATGCACGTATCCATAAGATTCATAATTTACAATTACCAACTTAAACATGAAACACTGAATAAAATCTTAAAAATTAATGAAAATTGACAAAATTTTCAAGTTGCGTCATTTTTGCTACGTTTTACTTTTTACAATACCAAAACCTCACATTACGTACATGGTCCAAATGATCTCCATTAATTTTCCATTAAGTCAACAACAAATAAAAGTTGCTTTTTGAAGTTTTTAAAATTTGTATAAAACTATGTAATATTTTTCTAAGAAACTCCTCATTTGAAGGTCCATGTTCTTTTTAATTTCAATCAGTATCTGTGGTCTAGGGTTGTTGATACTGTTCTTAAGAACCCCTACAGAAAGGAACCCAAAAATTGAGATTGGCGAATGCAAAGGTCAAAATATTTCCTTGCATATTGAAAATTCGTACGCCGCGAACTTCTAATTATATTTTAAAGTTCATTATATGCTGAAAATGCTGATATTGCCAGAATAAATTTCTGAAAATATCTATCACTTTTCTCAGAAGTTTGCTACTCAAAGAATATCCACTTCACCAATAACATCTCCGCTTCCTAAAGTGTTAAATGTGTTCTGGTATTCCGTGTCATTTATCACATATTGGCTGTCCCTGTCCTTTAACTTTGTTATCACCCTTCTGATAAGAATCCTAGAAAGATTCCATTCTTTTTTAAATTTATTTCGGCAATTTGTGATTGAGTGGAATAGATATTGGCGAAATGGATTGGAAAAAAACAGCTTTACAATTCAGCACTGAGTGGAAAAGTCAAGTTCATTTCGAGAAATATTCAGATTATGATATCGGCGTTTATAGCAAAATAAATCATTGTAAGACCATGACCTCCTTGACTTTTTCACATGGAACCAAAAATGTAGGATTTGATGTTTATGGACAGATGACACAAAGAAAAAATGGATTGGTAAATATTTTTGGGATAATGTTATTGCCAATGATGCAAATAATAAATTTTTAGAATATAAAGAAATTGTAAACCTTCTGTGATGTTCAAAAGTCTGCCCTTCTGAAACCAACCTTATTTATGTATACAAATATTTTTCACTTCAAATTCCATTTTTGTGAAAAATTTGAGTTAAAATTAAAAAGTACGTGGTGAAAGGAACTCATTTTACTCATTTAAACATGACCCAAATTATTTTCAAATATTTGGAAAAAGTTTGTTTGTATCGTCTGTCTTTAATGATATATAATTTGTAATAGAAGTATGAAAGGTGAGAAAAATAATTATATTTCAAAATGTATGATATATTATGAAACACCCTGTAACAGGTTGTCCCAAGAGCACAAAAATTGACATGGTGCAAATAAATGATAATGATTCATTAATTTAAACAGGACAAACGAGTTGCTTTAATTTTGTTATAAGCAAATGACTAGATAGTTGTATTTGTACGAGCATTTACATGGGTAAATATTCATATTCGATGAACAATATTTTAATCGAAAAGGATAATTTATATTTATGCCATTTTATGTCAGGAAGTACTTTTATGTTTTGTGAAGAAATGTAATGTATGTTATTGTAACTCAAAATTAAAATTGCAATATCAATATCCATATTGTTGATCATATCGTTTGATAAATTGACAAAACAAACAAAATTTAATTTGTACATGTATTATCTGTATTATTTTTATGTATCTGAAGTAGGAATAAAATAATATGTTTAAATTTCCAACTACAGCTTTAAACAGGGGTAAAAGATTCCTGTTACAGAGTTACATGTATGCCACAAAAACCGATATATGAACACGTTTAATGTTTTCTTTATAAAAAACAACAATCATTCAGGAAGGGTTCGCTTAACGCAGAAAAAAATGTTAAAAATTGTTCGACAAGATAAATTCTTTATGTATACATTTGAGGGTAAATACATTGTGTACTTAAAAAAATTGCACATTGTGCAAGGAGTAACGCTATTTAAATAACTTATAATGTACGTGTACATGTACATACCAATCCAATAATTTCCTCGAACATCACCGAAACCTCTTTTATATTCGCCCCAAGTAGCGTTGAAATTTACGTGGGGATTTTCACGATTTCTGTGTTGTATGACCTACAATATAATTTAAATGATTAAAATACAAGATGAATTAATTAGCATACCACTAGAATGGACGGAAGTCCCCCTTCGCCTTCCCTACGCACATAAACAAAAAGGGATACCTTTGTGTTAAAGATCATAAGAAACAAAATAAAGAAGAATAAGAAAATAAATCAAAGTGGTGACACTGAACTACTTGATGAGCACATACTGGAAAGAATGAACACAACTATTAAAAAAGCAGAAATGATTTAGGGCAAAGAAAAAGGCACAAATATTGTAGTGGAAAAGAAAGTCTGACATGGCTCTGTTATCGGCTTGATCTGTCCGCTAAATATGCAGGTAAAATTACTGGAATCCCATGACACCATGTTTAGACGAGCCATTAAAAAACACGTGCAGTAAACTCCACCATTTATTAAAAACCCAAACACCTGACATCATACACAACACTATACATAATGGTCACATGATACACAAACAGTTGATGATAAATGGATGTATACATTAATTTGAAACAGGATCTGGCGGACGATCACAGAGATCAGCAGTGCTTCTAGAGAATTCTTAAAAAGAATCATAACATACAATGTAGTTACAGCCCAACCCCCTTCTCAAAATTAATTTTGCTGTGGATAATAAATTGCATTATTTCCTTAAAACTGCTTCAGTTATAATTAATTTATTAGTTTTGAGACAGAATACCATTTTAAAACTGTATTTTTGATAAGAAATATATACTTGCAAGAAATATAAATAAGAAATGCAAACAATTAATATATGCACAATTTGGATCAAAGTAACCTTTTACATGGATTCAGCTAAACAGTCATTTCTTGGTCCATTACTATACTTTTGTCAACTTAATTGATTCATTACATCGTTAATGTTTATTAAAATGACACAAGATTATAAAATAATTTTGAAATACGTAGCTCCAGTTTGATGAAATTATAGGAAAAAAATTGTTTTAATCTGTGTGCAAACTTCTTTAACTTACTATTATACAGAGAGAGAGAGAGATTTGGACTAATGACTATTTAATTTTAACGTTCTAAGAGGAATTCTCTGATTGTGCGATTTCTGTCATTATAACATTATAATTTCTTTTATTATATTTTTCATTAAAAATGTCAGTAATGCTGGAAATGAGTTTCATGTTATATTATGAACTTTACGCATTCACCCAGATTATGTTATACAGCGTAAGTAGTATTGTGTGAGTCTCGCTATACTACTAGTGTACTACATGTACGATTACTGTTTTTGACGGAATATGTACATAAATAAAGATGTCTTCTTATTTAGCTTTTATGTGAGAAACTTTTAGAAATAATTCTTGACTTTTGTTTTAGGCCCGACTTTACGCCAGTGTAGGGCTACGACTAGGCATACATGTACGACCTTTGACGATACGGGTCGAAGAGTCCAATACTTTTGGCTGGCTTCGGCTCACAGGAGCCATCTCAACGTGTTTATTGAATAAGTCTAGATTCCTTGCAGCCCTCTTCTTGCTCCCCCACAAAAACGTTTAAATACCTGTGTTAACTCATTTGTGCACGTGCCCTTGCCCTCCATCTCATCAACATTTAAATGCCCATGCTTTCATTGTAGTAACCATCAATATGTCAGAGTGATTACATTGTCTACCCTATTGTTTTTCAATTGTTCTCCTATAAAAAATGTAAGGTGAAGGGGAGGGGTTTATAATATTCTTTAATATTTATACCATTAGCATACTGTGATTAAAAAGGACTCCTAATACATCACATCTGTATTTTTGAAACTGAAAATGGGGAAAATTCAGTGGAATCAATGATGTCTTAAAATTATTTATTACCGTCCATCCACCTCCATCCAATTCCATGTCACATATTACATGAACAGAAGTAAAGTTCTTTACGTGTATGTAGGGGAATATTCTATAAACTCCAGTCTTCCTTCTTCCACAGTTGTAGATTTCGTAACAGTCGAACGGAACAATGCAATCTATGAATATATTCAAACATCAGAAAACATTTATTACAATCTTAAATAAGGTAAAATGTATCGTGATATTTTATGTTTTATTAAATTTTAAAAACGTTAATATAATTAACTCTAGGAAATAAATGTTGGATCACAAACAAGTATTCTGTTTCTATAAGTTATCACATATATTTTTTTTATCAACTTACAATATTTATACCCCCGCTTATTTGATTTGATATCTTACTTGTCCACGTAACTTAAGATTCTATAATATGATATCTTACTAATTCTTTTTGTGTAAAATTTAGATTGAAGTAAAATCGATTCTTCAGTATTAAAACAAAATAAGGTTTTTCATTTACATGTAAATTTACAAGGGAGATGTATTTGGCACAAGCAAATAACAATTTACTGAGAAATGAATGGTCTTATTTATTGCCAAATTTAGATTGACGTGTACCGTTTATTTCGTTGTACATAGCATATTAAAATTGATTATCTTATATTGTGAAAATTAATTTTCAATAATGAACGTGTGTTGGAGAGGTCCTTTACCAATTCTCCTACGGAACAAGATTCTCGAATTTGGACAATCTCTCCCTAGTTAACAAACGATACTGCATACACTGAGTCTGTATGAATCAAAAAAATAATCTATATTTCTGGTCCTCTAGGAAACCAATTCTACTTCAAAGTTTGACCAAATCGGTCATGGCCTTAGAAAATCATGATATAAATACACCCTTTATGGCTCGAACATACATATTTAACTCTTCAGACTTTCACGTAGAAAATATGCCTACGTGACAAGTCTGTGTGATTCACACACCGATAACTCAAACAAAACTTAGTGTATATACTCACGTTAATGAAAAAAACACGGCGATACTCGCGCTAACATGATCTCACAATGAGTTACGTTAGTAAAAATGCAAGATATAGGGTAGCGAATTTTTTCAAATTGACTATCCTCTTGATGCTTTAAAACATGTAAATGTAAATATATGGAATGTTTGTTGAAGTCTGTTGGTGAATTATTTGTGTGTAAATCACAAAGACTAGCACGTACATTGTATGCATATCTTTTATGAAGCCCTAGCGGGCTTCATGTAATGTTCCTACGTGACATATATACATACCAAACAAAAGTAAATCTTTCATTTCCCTGTTATCCTGCCGTAGTTGCTCTACTTCATTCTGAAGTCTTATCTGCTTGATCAGAAGTGTCTGAATTATTTCATAATTTTCACTGATCTTTTCCAAATTGATGCAATCATCTTTTTCGTTCAAATGAATATACTGAGAACTTGAACATATCAAGCCAGACATAAAGAAAGCTGCCCATACTACATGTATCTCCATAATTTTACAGTTTCTGTTCTTTGAACTTAGGTGCTTTCAAATATATCTTTTGGTTTTAAAACTTCCTTAAGAGGAAGAATTTAAATGTCTTTGCATAAAGTTTCATACAGCATTAAACACATCATTTCTACTGATGATATCTTTAGGCGGAATATAATGATAACATTTGTCGATTAAAATAATGTCTATATATTTAGTTAACCTTGCCTCCCGAAAATAATTTCCTTATATAATCTTTTATCCATTTGCTTACTAAACACACAATGTTTACAGATGATATCTCTAGGTAGAATAAACATAACAAATAACATTTGTCAATTTTAAAATAATTTTTATTTATATGTAATGAACAAATAAAACTTTCTTATAAAATGACAAAATGTTCGAAAAGATACGTTTATCTGCAAAAATATGTCAGTACACGGCAGGCATACTGATTTGAGTATGCACTAGTATACCCGCACTTTTTAAAGACAATAAGTTATAAAAAAAAAAAAATATCGTTATCCGGATCTTTCCGTCGGTACTTTTTTTTTGCATTTCTCATTCTTAACCATTCTGTTTGAAGCAGCAACCAATAAATGTTTTGGAATATTTAAAGTTAAGGTAAGGAGGCTGGGCCCAATTTATAGGGGAAAAGTTAACTATGAGGTCACTTAAATATAAGGCCTCAACATAATTTCTATAAAATGAAAATATTTGCTTTTTTAAAATGCTGGATAGCTTTAAACTAGAAAAACGTCTTACTATTACATGCAGTTTTGTCATTTGTCGAAGCCCACACAATAATTGCAGGTAGGACAAAGCTGCCCGTAAAATATCAAACTGTTCAAACTGTATTAACTTCTCTGAACTATCTAGATATGACGTCATAATAGAATATGACGTCAAATCACTGCATAATTGAGATTACATGGCGGGGAAAATGTCATAATTAATAAATGGCATGTATATTTGATTCGGGGACTTGTTGTTTGATGCAATTGTTAGGATTGTTTTTAAGCTCGAGTGTGCTTTTATGATGTAATGATGTTGAACATTCGAAATTTAATATCCCTATTCCTTATGCTTGTCAAATATGCACATATTCACACAATAGCAAAACAATTTGGTTTGAAACGCCCCCCTTACAGGTCCGTAGACAGAGTTAGAATTGGCACAAGTGTTAAAAAAGGACAAATTGAAGATATTCTGTATGAATCTACAAGATAAGTATGTCCTCGAACTGAATTTTGAAGCCTTGGGAAAGCCTTATCATAAGTACGAATTTAAATATTAACAATTCATTGATCGCAATGCACTTATGGTGAAAAATGATGCGCTACTAAAATTACTAATAACTTTAGGGCTGATCACCAAAAGACAACTTATGATGACCATGTATCAAAGTAATTTTGAAATATGGCTAAAAAATGTTCTGAAAACTCAATTATTACGTAACATTTCGCTGTACGTCTCTTTATCAATTTTATTAGTAACATTTCTACCTGTACCATAATTGCAAATTACAAATTGATAATATTAATAATTTCACCACGATAAATTAACAATTAACAAAATTGAACTTACTATAAAATATTCACTACCTTACTAGTAATTCAACTGCCGATTAACAAGGAATGTTGAGTTGTGAGGGGAAGGAGATGATCAGATTACATATGTGTGCTGATCAATGCTTGAACATGATGATAGAAAATTTTTAAAATGGAGTTTAATAGTGAAGAAAATTTAGCTGAAATATTTGTCTTTTCATTTTTATTTTTTATTATTATTATTATTTTTTTTTTTTGGCTAGCTTTTTGTTTGGGATATAGCTTCATTAGAAAGATTGTGTTAGAATCTCCGAAGTTATTCAGGACTTACATTTATCGATGCTTCAAACTTCAAACGTGATTACCGTGACATCTTTTAAATGAGGTGTTCATCACCTTCCATTTCTGTAATAATTTCATCGTTTGTTCTCTTATCTGAGCGCGAGTTCATTGTCTATCTTTTAACGGAATGTGTTTTCTTAGGTATTTAAAGAATCAATAAAGTAGTCCAATGCAATTATATCTTAATAAACTTTTTTTCTTGAAAATCCTTTTCTCTATTTTAGATATCTATATTTAATTTGCACATGTCAGTTTTTGAACCTTTCTGTATAGGATGTGTCAACGTCTTATTGGCTATGCTCCAAATGAAAGAAAATTTGCAAGAGTACTATGAACTATGTGGCTCAGCGATTATTACGTGATGCAACAATTATGTAGACTCCTCTATTTTCTTTACATTTCCAGCGATGAAAATACCCTATATACATATAAGTTTTGTGAATATATTCAGAGTGTAAATCAAACACGAAACTCGGGCACAACTCAAAGAGGACGCTATCTTTCATTTACTAGTATTTGAATGTTAAAATTTGCACAAATTCACGTACTTAATTAAGATTTATTTGCTGCTGTATTTTGTTAATATATATATTTATAGCCTTGCCCATTCCCTCATTAGGACATCACTAGTGCTATATTTCCCGAGTACGTTTCTACAATTGACCACACAAGGGGTTTGCAGTCGTATGAATTCATGGCGTTATGTAGCAACAGATGATGATAAAACGCCGCTTAATGAAAGAAATATCAAGCGTCACAATACACCGTTTATTTTTTTTAAAAAATGCATCAGTCTATAGTTGACATTTTCAACTGTTTAATGATATAATTCTTTCTTTAACAGATATTTAGCAATAACAGATAAGATTTTCAGCTAATAATTTATTGCATAAAGTGTTGCAATTGCAAGGGCATTTTATCATTAACGGTTCTTAGAGCGCCGTCCATACGCAGTGAAGACAAGGACGATGCCACTTACAATAACAAAGACCAAAAAAATCAAATAGCTACTAGATAGTGTTTGTTTGTTTATTTATTTATTCCTTAAGTCGTATGACTTATCAGATAACACAATTACAAGATACAGGATGTAAAGCACAGAATTAATATACATAAATGAAATATTTACATATACTTCTTTTAAGTTAATACTGCTTGTTGCATACAATATTTCCAACCAAACAGTGAAAAACTCAGTTCACAGATGTAAATCTATAAGTGCTTCTGCTTTTTGGAGGAATTTCCCTATATTACAAAGTTCACTCACATTTTCAGTTGATAATAATTGTAATAGTTTATACATGCTAGGTCTATACCAAAAATACTTTTTAACATACAATTTTCTGTACTCATGATAAAGTGGATATTTTAAAATAAAATTTTAAATCCCTAGGAATATGAATAAATCTTCCCTTCTCAATTATTAATAAATGTGCGCTTAATCTATATTTTGTAATCACTTGAATATACTTGGATGGAATTGGTTTCATTAAATAGGATTGCATGCACAGTTTATTTGTTAAATATCTATACACAAAACACTTTGAAGACGAAGAAAAAAAAGCATCACATTCTTGTTGAAAACAGTCAGTTAATCTTTGTTTGAAAATTTTTAAAAATATATTTTTGTTTGTAATATTTTGACAATACCAAACGTCTCCAAATCCTACTGAAAATAATAAGTATTTTACATTAAGTAACCAATTATATTTTGTACAAGAACTTGTCTCAATTCTTTCAAGCATATCTTGGTAAATACTTTTCAATATACAGTTTTCTGACTCCAATAGTTTTAGCCAAAACTTTATAATACGAACTTTTCTTTGAATAAAAAGAGGTAAGCGACCACGTTCATTATAAATCATCAATGAAGATGTATTTTTTCTCACTTTCAACATAATTTTGAGATATTCTAAATGTATTTTCTCTATAGCATCACCCTTATGGAATCTCCATATTTCACTTGCATAATTCAAAATACTACTTACATAAGAATCAAACAAAGACAGACGAGTAACATAATTAAAATGCACATTTTTCATAGACTTCAAAAGTTTAAACATACATTTCCTCCCCTGAGTAGCCAATTTTAGCTGAGCTTTATGAAAATTACCTGTGTATGTCAGAGTGAGACCAAGATTAGTAAACTGATTAATAGCTTCAACTTCCTCATCATTATAAAACCATTTAATATTTTGATTCAATCGACCAGACTTTCTAAATACTACTATTTTAGTTTTAGGCCACACCAATTTAATTTCTTGTTCGTCGGACATTTGATGAAAAAAAGTACGAGCGGGCAAGCGATTTAATGATAATATTATTAATTTTTGTAGGCGAAATATTTAGGAGGATCGTGAAAAAAAATTGAGCGGACTATTAATTTTTTTCCGATTTTCAGAGTAAGCAGATTAAAAATACGATAAACAAAGCGGAAATAAAACAGAAAATAGCACAGAATCCCCATGGTGCGGGAAATTTAAATTAATATTATTTTCATAGTTTTGTTTAAATACGAGCGCGCGGGTCCGACGAACAAAAAAATTTATTGGTGTGGCCTTACTTACATTTACAGATAATTTCCAATCATTACAATATGAGTAAAGCACATCAAGCGTTTTTTGTAATCCCTCAGGAGAATCGGAAAACAATACCATGTCATCTGCATATAACATTAAAAACAATGACACTTCTTGGAGACTAATATCATGACAATTGAACCTGATAAAGGATTCTCAAAATCATTTAAATATATAGAAAAAAGTAGTGGAGACAGTGCTTCTCCCTGAAGGACTCCTTGTTCTACTTTCAAAAGGTCACTAAAATTGTTTTTGTATTTCACACAACTTCTAACATTCTTATACAGAGACCATATACTGTTAAACATTTTGCCCTTGATCCCTAATGTTATGAGCTTTTGAAGATGATAATTTCTATTTATACTATCAAATGCCTTACGGAAGTCCACAAAACAACAGTAGAGTTTTTTCCCGTTCCAAAGATGTTTATCAATTATACTTTGCAGTGCAAAAATTGCATCTATGGAAACAACCCCAGGTCTGAAACCAAACTGTGCATCCGTTAAAATAAAGTTACTTTCGGACCATTTCATAAGTCTATTATTAAGTATAGTCGTAAATATTTTTAACATACAACTCATGAGGGTAACCCCCCCTATAATTATCTGTTACATCTGGATCAGCCTTTTTAAGAATAGGTATTAATTTCACCTTCACGCCATGTGAGGGGAATATTACCTGTATGAAATATAACATTAAATATTCTTGTTAAAAGTGGACTTTATTCTTCACACATAAATTTAAAATATTCATTTATCAAATTATCTTTTCCTGGCGATTTTTAGACAGTTTATAACATCTACAACTTCTTTAACAGTTATATTGACATCTAGCTCATGAAATACAGCATTCATATCATATTCTGTATTCCACAAATCAGTATATGTAACATCTTTACAGACACCTACATTTCTGAAATGTTCGAAAAAAATCTTCTACACTAAGATTACAATTATTTTGTGGCTTACGATTCTTAAAAAAATTCAAAAACTCCCTAGGCGAAGTGCGCCTCAGGTATTCTAACTGGCTACCTTGACATCGCCTAAACTCACATCTTGCCCTATTCATACATTTTTAATAATCGTTTTTACATTCAATCAATAATTGTCTATTAAAATGACTTCTACATACATTGAATATGAAAAGTTTCTCTTTGTAAATTCTATACAACTCTTTACATCTCTCATTAAACCAGGGTTTATTCGTAACTACTTCCTTATGTTTTTGTTTATTACAAATAATATGTTTACAATATGGCTCAAAAACCTCGTTCAGACAAAGTGTAAAATTAGAGATAGATTCCGAGATATCGACACCATTCTCCATAGAGGATACTACACCATTTAAATTGTGTAAAACACTTTGTAAATTCTCTCTCATTTCAGATATATTATCTTGATACCATCTATAAAAGTAAACTGTACCACTTATCCTATTGAAATTCTGAGAAATTTGTTCCAGTGGTTCTTCCATACATTTTTTAAAAGTAAGGAATATTGGTGCGTGATCAGACCATTCATTAAAATCAAGAACTTTAAAATCGACTAAATGACCAAACAATTCATAATCAACTACTGCATAGTCTATTACACTACATCCACGGTGATTTAAAAAAGTCAGTTTACCGTTAATATCTCCTGGCTTTCGACCATTACATATTCTCAAACCAAAAGAATTACACATTTCAATCATACGTTTACCAAAATTATTAGTATTACTATCATCTGTTAAAAGCACTGGCATTTCACTATCTGAATCATAACTAAAAATATCATCCAGCGTTCTGCGTATCACATTCGTAATTTTATCAGATTCTATGTAATCTAACTGAGCACCCACCCGACTATTCCAATCTCCAATTAGACCAATTAAACCCAATTCACTATAATTTAACATATCATATTCCAACTCCTCAAAAATATTCTTATCATACAGATTATAATAAAAGTTATTTTCTTGTGTCAAAAAGTGTGTAATCTTGGATATTCTCTTTGTTTTTCTTTTTCACTTTTTTGCGTGTGCGACTTTGTACAGTTATCTACGAAACAATAAATGTGAACGTAAAGATGATTTGTTTTGATTGTATACTGTTTAACGTCCCTCTCCAGAATATTTCACAGATATCCAGACGGCACCATTACCGGTGCAGGGCTGCAAATTTAGGCCTATGCTCGGCACTTGCGGCCTTTGAGCAGGGAGGGGTCTTTATCGTGCCACACATGCTGTGACACGGGGCCTCGGTTTATACGGTCTCATCCGAAGGACCGCCCCATTTAGTCGCCTTTACGACAAGCAAGGAGCTACTGAGGACCTATTCTAACCCGAATCCCCACGGGGCAAATAACAAGTGAATGATGTATTTGTCAAAGTAATAAGACAACTAACTTACCTTTAATATCTGTTGCCTTTTGATGATAATTTTCCATTGTTTTATTAAAAGACTCCACAAGAGTCCGCAAACCATTTTCCATCGACAAAAGACGCTCGATTAAACGGGCGGATTTTCTTCCATTCATTATACTTTGATTTTGAAAAGCATAGTTTTCTTGCAGCATTTTGTCATATTTCTCATTTAGACCGATTGTTTCATTTTTAAGAGAGTTTAGATCTCTCTTCATCAAAAATACTAACTGTTTATTTATATCAAAATTCTGCAACGATAGCGTTTGAATTTGATTTTCCACAAATGAAGTTTTCCTCTTCAGATATGAAATTTCCGAATCATTAAGACTTTGAACGTTTGCACTTTGGACTGTTGTATAATTACTGAGTATTGAATATAGATCTTCTATCTTTTCTTTGAGCTTTGTGTTCTCTTCCTGTAATATGTAGTCATTTATTTTCAAATCACCTAATTCCTTTACAACTTCGCTAAGCCTTTTCTCAAGGGCCTGGCTAAAGTTTTTGCTATAAATTGCATCCATCACCAAGGTATCAATTTTCTGTATCATAGAGAATCGCGATAAACTTTCTTGATTTAATATACCCCGTATAATTTTTAATTGCTTCCCAGAGGTCGTGCTTGGCAACAGGGCCGTTTTCTTCGTCTCGTCATTTTCATGAAAAGTAGCATGTCCAAAACTCTCATAAATACACAAAAGTAGGTATATCAAAAACACACCCCTCATTTTTTCTATAACCGCTTAATCAATCATTTAGGGAATAAGAACATTGAAAGCATTTGCTCAAATTCAGAATATGTTGTTTTTCGATATCTCTTATATATAACATGCATTCGTCTGGGATTCGTCTGGGATTCGTCTGGGATTCGTCATTGCTTAGAGTAAATGGTGCGCAGGGGAAAAGGTTGTTTAATCATTCATTTTCAATTAATGCATTCAAACGTGAAATCATGACATGTGGATCTCGTATCTGGCCTCCCTCTCAAAAAAAAAAATAGAACAAGTATTTAGCACATATGTAACCTTCCAAAGTGAATGGTGTTTTCTTTTCATAATCACTTTTATAGTTGTTTTTTTTTCATTCGAAAAAAAATACAGAACACGTTCTGCAATTATCTGTAGGTTGCAAAAATAAACTTTTCAAAGATGTCATCTCAGGTGACGGAGTACTCCATATCAGCATTAATTAAAGCATATAATTATTTACGGTTAAGGGCTTTAAGATTTTCTGCACGTTTCATTTTACAACAGATTTCAATACACATACATACATATTTTTAAAAAAATATTTTTTAAAAATCCAATAATAGAGCGTTTAAAAATCAAAGCAATAGCGGTATGTATGAAATAAAGGGATATTAAAAAAAGGAAAACTTAGGATGATAGAAACATAACTTCTTTTTTATTTTATTCGTATTGAGAGTTTTTCTATGCACGTATGCTCACCCTCCAAGGCACCTGATCACACATCTGATAATTAGGAGATCCGGGTTTGCTCTGCTCTTCTTTTGTATTGATTTTTGGATTTTTGATATTAAATACTATTAGTTATCCAGGTTCAATCAAGGGTGTACGGGGATTTACCCCGGGTTTTATTCCATACACCCTGAGGCCGAAGGGTGTATGGAATACAACCCGGGGTAAATCCCCGTACACCCTTGATTGAACCTTGATCACGAATTTATTTCCTATGTATCCGTAAAAATTCTTTGTAAAGGCATAAATCCAATCTAGTGTGTCTCAACCTATCAATAAGATCTACTACGTAATACAGTGCATTGTGACGTCATGTCATTTGCTTTGTATCATAAAAAAGCTATGCATTGTGACGTCACGTTTTATTTGCCCCCTGCTCAATTCGGGTGTACGGAAATTTACAACCGACTTTGTAACCAATCAAAGCTCGTGTTACAAGCTACATAGGAAATAATGTTTGTTATTTTCATATGTTTCATCCTTATGTACACGTAGTCTTTGCTTGTTCAACTTTCTGACTAAGGTGTATTCCGTATACCTGATCAATACCTAGAGCTCGTAACGGGTGTGGATTCTCAGTAGGAGATGCCTACTCCTCCTATACAACTGATTCCACCTCTCATGATTGAAGATGTCCCTGTTTTGCTTTACCCTTGGCTCGTTTTGTTGAATGGTTTATGAGATTAATAGCTGTTCCTCATCTTCTCTCTGACGTCATTCAAATCAGACAATTGTGTTTTCTGCACATTAAGTTAGTAAAATTTTCATTTCTTATTAGGATCAACAGGACTATCCTATCTCACAATTAAAAGGATGCATAAATGTATGTGCAGGCATCTTTTACGAATCCCGCAATTTTTCCATTCTTTTCAGATGAAAGTGTTTGAGGTTCAAGTGTGAACCTAAAAAAATTACCTCTAACATACTCTTAGGAAAAAGAGAGCAATTATGATTTTCCACACCATGACACTTCTCTCTCTCTCTCTCTCTCTCTCTCTCTCTCTCTCTCTCTCTCTCTCTCTAATCTATCCATCTATCAATCTATCCTATTCGTCTTTCTAACTATTGTGAATAGATATTAAACAAAGGCTGACTCGTCCTTTTCTATCAATAAAAGTAACCCTTAGCCACATTAATTTCTCAACTGAAATTTTTACCTCAATCCATTATAATTTCTCAAACCCTCTTATAAACAAATGCTATTTCAGATAACTTCTATGTATGCAAATTAATTGATTTCATACGTATGTAAATATATATATATATATATATATATATATATTTGGATAGAAATGATAAAGTTGAGCTGAGGGACAGAATGTATATTTTAACTCCTTGTTCGTGATAAAGGTAGATCAATTTATTAGTTTTAGAAAGAAGTATAACAAAATGATGTTTCTGTTACTAAACTAGAAATATAGATATTTTGTATTTTACACATATTTTTTTCAAAATGATTAATTTTTTCCATTGTAAAATAAATGTTGATATACACTCTTATCGCATTTTCAATTTTTTTCACAGTGCGTTGATTTTGCACCAAATTAAACACACTTTGAATTTTTCCAAAGTTCCTAGATTCCTTTCCAATTCTAATGCAACTTAAAATATTTTTTGAAAGTGAGTTTTTCAAGGTGTGTTGTCACATTTGTGTTTTTATTTTGTGTCAGTGGATTATATCAAACCACTTTGTAAATTAAAATTTAAATTTAAAAGCAAGATATTTTTTTCCATTGAATTACTTTGAAACGTAGAAAATATTTATTATTTTAAATGCGCTACCCACATATACAATTCATAAAATAAAGACAAAGAAAAATATAAAACTACATGTACTTCTGTATTTCATTTTCATTTTTCCCAAAGTTGCAGAATACATATTTCTCGTAAGATATTTAAAACTCCTCCTTTACTTCTTGATATAAATTGGAAGCTGTTGGCATAGGCGAGGAAATATCCAAAAGGGACTCCTTGTCTAAAAAGAATTATTCCTATGCATTTTTAATTGTAATTGGAATATAAGGATAGAATTTAAAAAAAAAAAAAAGAAAACATTCATCTGTTCATTTATTTAATTAAGACAACAAGCTTATTCTGCAATGATAAATGTAGTTTATTCTCTAAAATGATACTGTCTGCGATTTTGTATCAATTGGAATATATGTATAATATTTAATATGTTATTATTGGTATGAATTTCGATGCTTTTCATTTCTCCTTATATATATGTTATTAATATGTATAGAACACACCTCAACAGAAAACGTATTTATAAGGTATAAGGTAGAATGTAATCTTTTTAAAGAGTAAGCTGACAGACGAAGGGACGTTTTACGTCACATCGTTTATCGTTCCATTTCAACCCTGTACTCCATTTCTCAACACAGTGTTCCACCTTCCCAGCATTGTTAGGTTCGTTTTTGTGCCAATTCGTGTAAGCTGGTTTACTTCCAGTCGAAATAAGGACAAAGCTACCTTCATTGAGTATATCGGTCAATCCAATCCAGGCGTATTGAAAACTTAAAATAAAAGGTTAAATAGATTCGCTTACATATATCTATAGATAATTGTCAAATAGATAAGTTATAAAAGGTACCTCGTGACTTTAGCTGCAAATCAACCCATTCTTCTTCATCTGAACCTTCCATTTCAATAAGATTAGCACCAGCTGCAACATTGTTACAGTACTTCTGTTACAATAAAAAGAAACACATTGACAAACTCCAGTAACATTTCGAAATAAATTCTTAATTTAAATTCAACATTGTCTAAAGTTTATTCAGTAAAATACGCAAATAACAGTGCTACTCACAAAATGCAAGGGGGGGGGGGCACATTTTACTTTATTAAAAAGTTATAGAGTTCAGTATATCGCAGGGTCATCGGGTATGAAAATCCCTTTGTATTGGGCATGAATTCATTAAAAATTTGTTTGTTATAATGGAACGAGTTAATTTATACTGTATATAGCGTCTCCGGTTAATTTTAATCCCTTTCGCCATTGTCTTAATTGAGTGAATTTTAAACGGGACCCTGTATTCAAGGAACATTACACTAATTCTTAAACAGAACTTTGACTGGGCGAATTTAAAACGAGGTTAAATTGTTAGCAGGTGTAAAAGGGCTGAAATAACACGGGTGGAAAATAATCCTGCATGCTTTATTAATTCTATATTTGTTCTCGTTGGATCCACCTACCACGGCGTCTTTGAAATATGTTTCCATGCTAGAAAAAAGATAGCAGCTTTTTCCAAACTGGGTCCATCCTTTTTCACATTTTGTAGCAAGCAAATCGTATCCTGTAAAATTGAAATCAATATTTGATTAAGAAAAGGTGCTATTAATTTTAGACGATTAGTAGGAGGCTTTCAAGTCAAACAATAGTCAGGTACTTGTTGAAATTTTAATACATGTATTTCATTTTGCAAGTGTTTGATAGATAGTGAGTTTAAAAAAGGAGGTAGAAACTGTTCCTTTACAAAGCAGTTGGCACCCTTGAAGTGAATGTAAAGAGACCTTTAGATGAGACCCTAAAACCAAGACCCAGTGTAAGCGGAGGCATTGGCACCTCACTGCTCAATGGCCGTAAAATGCGAGTAAAGGTAGAGATTTGATTCCCTTTACCGATATATGGTGACATCTCTATTTAAGCATATTTTTTTAAGAAAGGAAAGTTATAAAAAAGATACAATCCATCATTTTGACCATTTGTCGTTTACAGCTGTAGCATGTAAAAATTTAATGTCTGCTATTACATGAACCCTAATTATAACAAATTGGAGGATTTATATTGTCAATTGGTACATATTGTCGTCGACTGCCCTTCTTGCAGTTATTGCATATTTTCGCTGACTGAAAAGTTGCAAAAGGAACCTCTCCAGCAATGAAATGTCAATTAGGTTGAAGTGGATTTTTTTTAGAGAATTTTTTTTTTCAAAACTCATTATTAAAATATTAATAAAAATGAAAAGTTGATGCGAAAAGCTTCGGAAATGAAATGCAGCCATTTTTTTTATATACTGTGACTGTGTTTAAGCTTTTATTCGTCTTAGGGCGGATACATTGTACTATAATGGTTGGGTAATGACGCTTTATCAATTTTGAGTTGGGAATTTCTACATTACCCCCTTTTCCTACATTTATTAAATATTTGAATGTCATTTCATTATTCGATCGTCGGTCCATTTGACTGCTAGACGAATAGCCGACTATTCGTTGACATCCATAAAATGTACACATTATCGCTGGAC